TGCGGTTTTGTGTTAATCGGCTTTAAAAAAAAATTCTATAATTAGCTCGTCATTACATCGATGCTAAGCGAATCAAACGCAATGTCACTCCATAAAAGACATTCAAATTTAATCTTTATTCAATATAGACGCATTGAACTTGCTATTGATTGTCAAAATACTACAACCGGTTCGGAATAAAGCCGAAGGAAACTCGGTGGGACAATTTTTTTTTAACATAATTTGGCAATAAAACATGTTTGCAATATATAACTAATATAACAATTCCACTTGAAATAGTCTACGAGTCTAGAGCGATCAATTAATTTCCAGTGTGATATCATTTTAATTATCATTAATATCATAATTTGGCCGGTAGTCTAGGGTTGCCAACTGTTTTTGAGAAAAATAATGCATCACATTTTTCAAATAAGGAAAAATTTCGTTATTTATTTCTTCTCACGAAGAAGTTTTCTATATTCTAGCTTTTCGTGTGCTTCTAGCATATTGACAGTTTTTCATTTCCCTTACACAGAGTATATAAGGATAATGAAAAACAGTCGGGAACTCGTATTTTCACATACTTTTTTTATGCAAATGTATAAAGTACCTATATTTGCCAAAAATAAAGTAGGATGGATACGCAAGGCATCTGCCATCGTACCGGTGTTGCAAATGTCCATGGGCGGCTGTTATCATTTAACATCAGGTGGACCGCCAGCTCGTTTGCCACTTAAAAAAAAATACAAATCAATCAATAGTTTGACTACTGGTACCAGGTAAATAACTAGCTAATTGCACAGTCGACGGCCATCGGGGTTTCGGTCCGAACCGCGACCTCGATGGCCCTTAGATGACATACTATATAGTTAAACGCACGCATGAGCACATGCGCAGCCCTACCCACAGCGGAGGGCCCAAACCCGTGGGTTCCGGCTAGCCCACCGGTTCTGCGTCAGATGAAGCTTTAATAGTCTCGGGACTGAAAGCAAAAACATCAGTTAATACAAGATACAAGAAAGCCAAATAACGATAGCGGCGGGTACTAGGTGGACGTATTTAGACTGGCACTATCTAAAGTGGCTCTGTAGTACTGTTTTTATCAGTTTGTATTTTAACCACGTTATTTAACCACGTTATTTTGTATGCCGTGATAGCTCAGTGTCCGGGCAATCGCCTTTAATTCAATATACTCGAGCAACCTGAGTTCGATCCCCGGTGCCGGCACCAATGAAGTTTTTAACTTTAAGTGTTCATTAATCACGTGCTCCGCGGTGAAGGAAAGCATCGTGAGGAAACCTGCATATTTTCGAAATAATAACAAAACAATATATATATTTCGAAAATATGTGAAGTCCGCCAATCCGCAGTGGGGCCGCGTGGTGGACTATGCCCTGATACCCTCTGTATAGAGGAGGCCTTTGCCCAGCAGTGGGACATGTATAGGCTGTTACTTTACTTTTTTACTTTACTATTTTGTATTCGAGGAAAGCGGCGCACGAAGTAGTAACAAGCGACATAATCATTGTTGTATTTCTCCTCATTGAACAATCTTTACCGTTAAAACAGAGTACAATCGGTGTCTATGACATTTAATTTAATTTTTCTGCGAAATTTATGAAAAAATTAAATAGGGCATCACAAAAAGAGTTAGAGCACACATAATAAACATTTTTGAAATTTTTGTCTGTCTGTACGCTTATAATTTAAAAAATGCTCAACGGATTTTGATGCAATTTTCACCGGTTAGGTATTCGTAAAATTATTATTATTATACAATTATTTTATAATAATAATTTTACGATTTAAAATTTCAGTGATGAACGTTTGTGTTTGTTATCGGCTACAAAATCTGTTCTGTTCTCGGCAAAAAATCACTCGCTGATAACACCGCCTCGTAATCTAATAAATCTTTTAGGGTTCGCAACGACTCTGCAACTGCTCAGGTGTTCATCAAATGCACCGTCTACTAGCTTGTGAACTTTTAACTTAAGAAAAAGAAAGTTCTTCTCTGAACAGGCCTTAATTTGTAACCGGTATTACGTTTACGGTTGCCAACCATACTTTATAATAACTAACTTGGCACCATTCCGCGTGGATTAGGTTTATTAGATAATATGTAATTTTAGATAGATTTAATGTTATGGCATACTAATAAGATATGTAAAAAAAACTCAATTTTCAATATTTACTGTGAAATCACGTGTGACGCGAGTGCTTGAAACAACCCGAAAATCGATAAAATATTTTTATTTTGACTTAATTTCTCGAAAACAATAACCATGAACCCAGTTCTCGGTTCGACTCTGCCATTGTCATTGACGCTTCTTTATGATTTTGAGGAGATCCCCGATGTTTAGCCGAAGTCCGAGGTCCAATACCTATTAAATTAACACGAGACCGCGCCGGAGCTAAACCGAACCCATTGCAAAAGGAATTTTTAAAATCGCCTTATTAATGACGGAGTTCCGAGTTAACAAACCTCTTTTTTCGAATTCGGTTGATAAAGTTATTGCCCCACTGAATCGCGTGAAGCGCTTGTATTCGCAAAGCGTTCATCGACTTGTTGCACTATGCTTTGCAACTGTTCCAATTTGTTCGATGGAAGTTGCTTTAGTATGTAAAATTCCCCATCTGCGTTTTAAAGTACAAAAACTTGCAAATTAATATGAATATTAATTACGTTCTTCTAATTATCCGTACTAAGATATAACTTTATTTAGTTATTTATTTATTGTAAGGACGTCCGACCACTTTCATAGAAATATCTCTTTTTATAGATTTTCTATCACGGTTTCTCCATGTACTCCAAAGCTAAGACTGTATACATAAATACTGTTTGCATAAATCAAAAACTATATGCATATAATTGATTAAAAATACAAAATAAAGTCTCCGTTATGGAGGTTTCACTGTCATAGCTTCATACTCATCTTATGGAATTTGGTAGAAGCTGCTATTTACGAGTAGCTCCATTATTCAGTCCATACTCTACACAAACACACCAACAAGTTTGAATTACAAATCAAGTCACTAAAAAAACGCGCCAATGTGTTCATTGGACGGGAAAATCTTGCATTCAATCGCAGTGACATTGTAAGCGAAAGTTTGTTGGGTGTGTTTGCTCTCCTTTGAACGGGTTTCTTGAAAAAAGAAATGTCGTTTCTATTCCAATTTTAAAAACAGAAGATAATTATGTTTAACGCCGTTAAACTGGTTTAGTTATTTTACACACCAGGTATCTTAACAAGTATACCATTTTAAGTATATTTCATTTAATAATTATTATTTTTCTATGTTCATACTTTATTGTTTTGATATACTGTGTTTATTTCAATCAAGATATTTGAGTATGTTGTTCTAAGTTCTTAATTTTCTCTAATTTTGTGCATTGGTAATTATTTATGATTGTATTATTTATAAGATAGGCCTTTATTCTTTGTATTCCTTTGTCAACGACAATTATAATTATACTGTATTATTGTGCTTAAGAACATAATTGTGGTATGAAGAGTTGAATACTACCTGTGCTATGTAATGTTTACTGATTTTAGGTCTGTTAAGACCAGATCACTCTTTTCCATTTTTTGCTGTACATAATAATCTGATAGAAATAGTTGAGCTATCTGTTTGCCAATCGAAATTCAATAATGTTTCAATATTCTATCTATTATAGTAGATTTGGTGACTGGCGATAGGTATTTGATATAAGCTCCATAATATTTACCTCTAAATTCTGTCTCCAGTAAACAATATAGTATGAGATTAAAAAAGAATATTATTTAATGAGGCATCAAAAATTTTTTAACTAAAAGAATTTCCACACGGCTCAAAAACTTATAGTCTCGACTATGATTGTTATATGATATTGTACCAACAAACAAAAAAACAATGGCAAGATGTGGTTTTATTATTGTGCTATTTTCCTTATCTGACAATGTAACTAGCACAGTAATCATGTATTTAAGTGGTAAGCAAAATAATCATAGATAAGTATTGGATAATTGTTTCATTATAATTATTAAAAAACCTTTTAACTGCCTACTGGAATTTCTTGAATATTTGATTAAACATTTTGTTCATGAAATTAGAATTTTCTTTCAATTTCTGTTGTGAGTCAATGGCTGTTAATTCATTTGTATTTAATAGTCTAGATTATGATAATTATAGATACTTTATTGTCACAAATGCGATTGTACTGAAATTAGTTTACCTTTCCGTATTGTAAAGCAATAATATTGCTGCAGTTTTGTTTGAATCCTTTCATATGGCTCAAAGCCATATGTGGAATAATTGTACATATTTGTTTTGAGTAATATACCATTGTTCAATTTACTAAGATTGAAAGTTTACACAGGAAGTCCTATTTTTTCGTGATGAACGATATCTTTTTCTGTCCTCAGACTTTGTCATGAAACGCAAAGTCCGTGGAATGACAAGTTTCCATTAGCTTCAGAGAACTGTTAATCCTTTGTTCAGATTTTTGTTCTATGCCACTTAGAAAAAGGTTCATTGTCTGTTGTCAGTATATTTTGATAAAACCAGTGTTATCAAAAATTTTATTAATTTTTCTATTTAAAACTTTCTGCACAATAGCATATAATGGTGGATTTAACAACATATTGTCTTTTGTATTTATAAGCAAAAACAATGGTTAAACTCTCTGAATTGATAAGAATGATCTCTTTAATGACAATCTTTTGGCAACTAAAATAACATTTGAAAAGCCATTGGACAGCTGATTAGTTGACGTCTATGATGATCAGTGTTTCAAAAACCAGGCTATAATAAAATGTTGCTTTTTTGGTGAATCCAAAATGACATACAGGACATGGAACAAACTAATATTATTGCATTGGTCTATTGTAGTTTTAAAAAGACATATTTGTTATATTTGTAACATTAAGGTTTAGTAGTATAGCATTAGTTGCTATATTGTCATTATAGCAACTAATGCTATAATATGCTAGAAATATTCACAATACAAGATTACTTATATGTATCATTTATTTACATTGCAGAAAAAGAAGAGAGTGCAAAATGGCAAGAACACTGGGCTGGACCCATTCTCGGACAATGATGATGACGTGGAGAGAGTTGCCAGGAAGTTCGAACAAAAATATGTAATTATTTATTTCACCACTTATTGTATTCACTTTTTTTTTGCTTTCCTTTCAACATTTTTTATGTACACGTATATTAATACGCATTTGCGTGAAATTATAACAGATTTTCAATACTAAAATATAAGTTTAGTTGGGAAATAATATTATGATTGTGATAATTATTTCCAGATTGTAGTTGATGTATACACGGAAGTGGCTGATGATGATTATGTTGAATATTTATATTTAGATTTGCCGAAGACGTGGGTTCGATTCCCACAGCGGCGTCAATCTTTTCGTACTTTTTCTACATATTTTAATGTTCAATCTTAAGTGCAAAGATTAGACCTATAAACAATTTAAATTAATAAATTGTTTATTGGAAAACTCGACTGAAAAAAATGTTCATTTTATTTGGGATATAATTTGGGGCCTAGGGGGCCTCCACTCCTTTGTTGCCCCGAGGCCTCCCGACCTGTAAATCCAGCCCGGGCCCATAGACAGACGTGTCCTATCGGTTCCAGGGCGGCAAGGACACCTACGGCAGGAGGGGCAGGTCGAAGCGAGACGATTTCGCGGACATCGGCGCCGGTTACGACGAGAACGACTCCTTCATTGACAACACGCACGGCGTTAGTGTTTATTTATTTGTTTGACGGCCCGAATGGCGTGGTGTGCCCGCCCCCTGCGCCAAAGGGTGTGGGTTCGATCCCCACTACTGGAAAAATATTGTGGTGAGCATAGTGTTTTTCCATTGTCTAGGCTCAGATTGTAGGTATAACATGTATTTATTCACGAAAGAAAAGTAGATATGGTTTAAGTATGTTTGTCAAGTAAGTTAAGTTTGAAGTTTTAACTTAAGTTTGCAACTAGAGAATGTTGTGTAAAAATGTGTCCTAAAATATTAATTTATTAATTATTTATTGAAACACGCTATAAAGTGGGTGCACTTATCACCTGGCTTTCTCTACTAGCCTAACTGTGGTAGGGCCACGCAACGGCTTCGGCTGTTGCATGAACAGCCAGGTCCGTCTGATAGACATACTTAAACGTACTTTTCTTTTTGTAAATAAACATTATATATACATATATTAACACCCGGACACTGGAAAAGTACTATGTTCATCGCACAATACTTTACCAGTAGTGGGGATCGAACCCACGCACATCCGGGGCAAGGGGCGGGCGCACTACTCGCCACGCGAATTGCGTTAACATTGAATGTGTATCATTTTTATGCTCAGCCCTAACCGGTGTTGTCAATCGATTCCAGTACGACGAGATGATACCGCCCGAGTGCGACACCCTGTACGGCGGTTTCTACATCAACAGCGGCTCGCTGGAGTTCAAGACGGTGCCCGACGAGCGGCCCGGCTCCAACTCGGACGGCGACCAGCCCGGCAGACGCGACAGGCTCAAGGTGACTTTTTATGTGGAGAAAGTGGCAAACGAGCTGGCGGTTCACCCGATGTTAAGTGATAACCGCCTGCCCATGGACGTTTGCAACACACGTAGGTTTGCAGATGTGTTGCCACCTGTTGATAATGTGGGCCCCGGCTACCTCACTCACCAGACGAAACGCAAAAGTGCAACCCTTCTACTGACCCGGACGGACCTGCACATTCGTGCAACAGCGATCAGTGTTGCGTGGCCATAATCGCAACGTTAAACTAGGCATAGTCGAGGGTCTGCTCTGGGTCAGGTCAGGGTGGGCTGTGGTACACGCACAGTCGAGGGCTTCCTCAGGATGGGGGATGTAGTAGGCTGCCTATTGCAGTGTATGTGTGGCTTTTACGGTGGTACGGCCACGCAGTAGTCTCGGCTGTCGCACGAATGGGCAGGCTCGTCCGGATAAGTACCACGACCTCACAGAAAGTAAAGTGGCGTAAGAGGCGTAAAGTGGAAGTATAATACTTTCGCGTTTTGTCTTGTGGGTGAGGTAGCCGGAGCCCAATTATTAAAAGTCAACGCATCTGCAGCCTTCGGGTGTAGTAGATGTCCATGGGTGGCTCTATTCACTTCATCAGGTGAACCTTCTGCTCGCTTGGCAAATTTTCACATTAAAAAAAAGCCCTATAAAATACTACAACAGGCAGCCTTTTCTGAGCCACGGTCTCATAGAAGACCGGCGTGAGGTAGAAGTATTACGCTTTCGAGGTTTTGTGAGTGAGGTAACCTCTTAGGTCTTTTAATAGTTGGCAACAAATTTTCTATCCAATAGGTGTGGTTTATGTCTATGAGTGGCGTTAATAACTTAATATCAGGCAAACTGCTTGCTCGCTTGCCAAATTTTCACATAAAAAATAATCAAGCCTCATCTGGAAAGTAGCGGCCTGGCAGTGCACCAAATATAGATTCCTCTTTTCAAAAAGTGTTGATAACTTAACTTTGAGTAGAGTTTAGTCATTTTCCCATCACTTGTCACTTTAAAATGAAGTTCTAAGTGAATGCTGTTTTGGATTGTTCAGGGTTAATGAGTACTTTAATGTTGCAAACTATTCCTCTACTTATCCAGTTACTAGACTACATACAGTAAGTAACTAGTTCATGGGACGGTGTATATGCTTCTACAACAAAATCTCAGTTAATGCGCAAAGCCTGTCTATTAATTGGTTTAAGAAATTTATTAAAGAACAACTTTTTAAAAACTCCTGGGAATGAGATGATCGCTCCTAAGCTGTTTAAAAAAAAACAACTTTTCTACAAAGCTTAAGAACAAAATGGCAAAAAAGAGCATAACTACGGAGATTCTTCACCGGTAGAGGAACCTCATTACGAAAGGGTGGTAGATTTAAAAAATGACTATAGATGAAATGTATATTTCTTACTTCGATGAATAAATGATTTGATTTGAGTTCATAATACTGGCAGTCTAAAGTGGTCTAAAGTGGAACTATTGACATGCCATCATGGTCAAGCAGAGAACCGATTACCCCCAGTACTTTTAACATTTCCTCTTGTATGTCTGTTTAGTAATATATAATAATATCAACTGTTTTACTTTTCTCACAGACCAAGACTTTTTTTTTCTTCACTTTTTCAACTTTCACCCTGCTACCTTATTTAATTAGTTCTCTTAAATGTCTATTTGTTTCACAGCGGCGGATATCGTCTAGCAGCAGCGAAGAGGAGTCATCTGAAAGCTCCTCAGACTCTGAAAGCCAAGAGGAGAAGGACCCGAAGGCCATCGCCAATGGAACAGTCGATTCGCACAAGACTGAGCACCGGAAAAAGGTATAATAAGCAATATTTATCATAGTAGACTATTTAGAGATAACAATTTTCGCTTTGGTTGTTTATACAATCAAATAGTTTAAATTAATAAGGAAAATTTATCATCTACCCGGTGTTCATTTAATCCAATTAAACGGTGAAATATTCATTTCCAACCTTTGCTCTCTAATTGGCCTCATAAATATAATAAATATTGACCTGAAATATGTTTAAGCTCAATTAACAATGAGAACTTATTCTGTCTCCGCAGAAGAACAAGAAGATTGAGAAGAAGAAAGCGAACAAGGTGCGTCGCACCGACTCGTCGGCCGCCACCTCCGGCAAGCAGACCTCTGATGGTGAGATGCTTCTATTTAACTAAAACTATAAATATTATAAAAATAAACTGTATTTTGCACTATAATTTTAAACCCTCCGGGTTTATTGACCCTTACAATGGAGGCCGATTATATTTTTCTAAAATATCGATGGTAAATGAGGAGGCATGGTTCATATAGCAGTAAGTGATTTCGTCCTCAGCGGCTGTGGGTGTGGTACCAATATTAATAAAGTGAAATTTATGATACCTTTCTCAGTGGTGCTAAATGAGGTAAAAATATAAATTTTAGTATTAACAATCAGTGAAAATTCTATGGGGTTAACATTTTCTAAGTCTACATACTTTCCTTGTCCAATTAGACAAGTTTCTAATTTCTTTTACTCTATTAAACTGCATTGTAAATAATAACTGCGGGTCATATTGAATAAGAATTATAGCAGAAGAATTAAGAATTATAAAATGTGTTGTATATAAAAAATCGATGTATGGGCTAGGCTAGGCAAGTGTACTATTTATTATTTATCTTGTCTTGTAGTCTTGTTGTATCCACATGCTTAAAACATGTTTTATTTAGTTACGTGTAACCGCGTAAATACAAGAAACTATCATAACAATGTGTTCTTTCCAGATAATGCCCCGGCTGATGCGGAGAGTGCAGATTCCCGAACTTCGCAATCGGACTCTCTCGCTTCTAAGCCCGCGCCCAGTTCGGAGAACGCTATCACCTCCGACAGCTCCAGGTAAAGGAAGAATCCAAACTATAGAGATTGGAACCACATATACCCTACTAAGTGGAAGCAGTTTTAATCCAAAAACAATTGGAATAAAACTGCTACAGACATTAGGAAATGTTTAGTTCTACACAGATCATTTGGGATTGTTTAATTATCTATCCTATCTAATAACTAACCTATCGCAAATCTGGCTCCTATGATACAAGCACTACTTAATTTGGGATCCAATGTGAATGTTTTGTAGTTTGATTTTAGTTACAATATTGTATATTAATCTTCAATACTATTTAAACTCATGTTTTGTAACTTACACTTGTTTATACTTAGATAAATAAATGAATTAAGTTAAATCCAAGAAGAACATAGTGAGACTTCAAAAATTTTGTGTTTGTATAAATGAGATCAAAAGAAATATTCAGTTTCTTCCGTGGTAATGAATGTCGTAAAGTTATGAATATTTGGATTTTAAAAATAAAGTTGGTCCCTACAAAATATTATAACAGAACATAGGCATCTTGTCAGATAAATTAACAAAATTCACAAATTTACTTTTTAACATAACGCTACCTATTGTTGATAGAGTGACTTTCCCCACATTTTTAAATTATTTTATGTGATTACATTATAGATTTTTTCCTTACACAGGGACATAGAAGCAAAGGTGGAGGTGAAACTGCCTCAGCCCGTGTGCCAAGTGCTGGAAGAACTGGAGGCATTCAGCCGGCAGCTGTTCAGCTCGAACACTCCGGCCGAGGAGGTGGAAACAAAGAGTGACCCTTATATACTTAGGTCAGTTCAATTGCTCATATTTGGAATTATATGACATACTTTAACATATACAATTTTAAAAAGTTATCCTTTATATGTGTGTTCATTTATTGTCGCGGTTGTAACGACACGCTGTATATCTTTTTATATATAGACTAGCTTCCGGGTCAGTTAATCGTTGTTTTGCCACATAAATTATTTGTAGGGTAGAAAAAAATGTTTGAGGTGGATAAGGGTTATCACTTGGTATAAAAATTAGTTATAAACCTATTCTCATACTTACTGAAGATACATATAAAATATCATCAATGTCATTACAAAATCACAAAAATTTAATATACTCGAGCGACCTGAGTCAGATCCCAGTGAAATTGTTAATTTTAAATGCTGACTTGTCACATCCTCAGTAGTTAAACCTGAATATTTTCGAAATAATACCAAAAAACAAATGTTTCGAAGATTTGTGAAGTCTGCCAATCCGCAGTGGGGCCACGTGGTGGATTATGCCCTCATGCCTTTTGTACAGAAGAGGCCTTTTTCCGGCAGTGGGACATGTATAGGTTGTTACTTCACTTTTACCATTACTTTCCCTGATAACTAAGAATCAATACTTAGAAGTTGGCATCACATTTGCATCATGCGTTTTGTTCATCGGATTTCGCCTTCAGGTGATGTGGAATAATAAATAATGATGACTCTGTGGCCAAGGTACTGGCTACGGCGTCGGGGGTCGTGGGTCGTGGGTTCAGAGCTGCATCTTGGTGTTTGTGCACGTTAAATTTATGTTTGTAAAACGTGGAATGTTTTTAGAAAAAGAAATGAAAATAGAAAATATATTTATGCATTGGCACTTTTTAACAAAGTTGGGCCCGGCTGTCTCACTAATCAGACGAAACGCGGAAGTGTAACACTTCCACTTCGTGCTGGTCTTCTGTGAGGTTGTGGTGGCAGAATGTACCGCGGCATTGGTTTTCTAAAGAAACGCCTTGAAGAGATTGGCGTTCAGCTCTATGTATACAGGCAACAAATAAAAACAAATAAAATTAAAATGACACAATACATAAATATAAATACGGATCACTTCACACATCATAGCCTCTCCCGCAGACCACCACTTAGCACCATCCCGAGCCACCTGCATCCATCGACTCTCCTGCACACTTGTACAGGTCGTCACTCCATCTAGTGGGGAGTCGTCTCACGCTGCGATGAATTGAATACTAAACATAGATAGAGCCGTGATAGCTCAGTGTCCGGGCGCTCGCCTTTAATTAACAAAATACTCGAGCAACCCGAGTTCAATCCCCAGTCATATCACGTGCTCTGCGGTGAAGGAAAACATCGTGAGGAGACCTGCATATTTTCGAAATAATAACAAGAAAATAAAAATTCGAAGATATGTGAAGTCCGCCAATCCGCAGTGGGTACCCTCCGTACAGAGGAGGCCGTCCCGGCAGCGGGACATGTGTAGGGCGATACTTTACTTAACTTCACTGAACATAGATAAACAATGACTCGCAGGGTGGAGCGCGCGCTGGCGCGGTGCGGCGCGTGCGGGCGCGCGCGGCGCGCGGCGTGGGGGCGCGCGGCGCGGGCGCTGCGCCTCTCGCGCCACCGGCTGCTGCAGCGCGCGAGGCCGCGGCCCGCACTGACGCGTAACTCGCTCTCCTTTTTTCGTTTCCTTTTCTCTCGCCCGCACTGCGAGCGGCCAGTGGTACGGGGTCGCCCGCACCGACGCGTGCGTCGCTCGCTTTTTTTTTTTTTTTTTTTTTTTTCACTTTAACGTGAGCGGCCAGTGGTACGTGGTCGCTTTTTAAACACGTCTTTTTAGTGAAAATAGTTAAAATAGTTTTTCGTTGGGTTCAGTTCACCTCCCATGTGGTACCATATTAGTGTCTTTGGTATTAGTCTCCAGAGATGCATCAAGAGACTCCTTAAAGTCAAATGGGAATAAGATATTTGAAGTAATTTTTTAAATCACAATGTACTTGTTTTATATCTTACCTTTTTTTATATGAGACACCAAGCTGGCCATTCACCTGATGTTAAGTGATAACCGACACCCATGGACATTTGCACCACCTGTAGAGTTGCAAATGGATTGCAACTTATTAATAATGGCACATATTAATAACACCCACCAGACGAAAATTATATATAGCTATTTAAAGACGATAAAACGACCACTAAAATATACTTCACGCGTTTACCCCTTAAATTCTGCGTTATTCCAGCGACGCCCACCACGTGCATCGCTCAGCCCACCAGCACCGCCAACGCGGCAACGACGACGGCAACTGCGCCGCAGTCCACAACGACAACAATAACCAGCACCGCCACAACCACAACAATGGCCGTAACGACAACAACAACAGTCACAACAACTACTACGCACACAAACAAGCGCAAATCCGAAGAGGATGTCGAAGATTTGGACTTCAGCAGTCTAACGGCCGAGGAGAGGGAAGCGAAGATTGTGGACGTTTTGCGGCGGTCAGTATCATTGTACTAACATAATTAAAATTAGTTAACTTAAGGAAGTTTATTTGTTTTACCGACAATATAGTTACTTTTCACCAGAGTCCAAATTAATAGAATACAGAAATGATCACAGCACCAGAACTTGCTTCATAGGAACGTGAATTTAAAAAATTTTGCTACTTTTTACATGTTCAAAAGCTGTGATAGCTCAGTGTCCGGGCGCACTCTTTTAATTTGATTTATCCGAGCAACCTGAACTGAAATCCTGGTGCCAGCAGGAATATGAAATTGTTACTTTTAAAGTGCCGACTTGTCATGTGCTGTGGTGAAGAAAAACATTGTGAGGAAACCTGCATTTCAAAGATATACAATGTTTACCCATCTGTAGTGGGGTCATAACAGTTGGGTGTTCTTTTGTTACCTCTTTGTTTATTTACTAATCTTTTTGTGGGGTACAGCCAAATAAACTTCCTACTTCAAAATGTATGTACACTCGCATCTAAAACCCATTAGGGTAGACTGGTATACGCTTTTACCATACCATAGTTATGGTGAATATTATATAATGCTGATATATATAATGTTATCAAATTACAAGATTTTTTATTTAAATTTACTATGATATTATAAATTATTATTTACATATTAAATGCTTTGTCATTTAAACTGTTATCATAAATGTTGTAAATTACCTTTCAGGTTAAAAGCGCTTATTGATGAACGTAAACCCGGAATGATGGCGAATTACATGGCTGAGTGTGAGAGAGTACAGGAGGAGAGGTGAGTAGTGGATGTATATTATTACAAAACTTTATTCTGGTGGAATGTTCTTTGTTCCACTGAATTTCTTCATTTTGAGAAGTATCATGAGTATTTTAATTTTAATAAAGGATTGCAGTGAAGAAATATTTACATATTATGTTTCTTTTGGGGTGTCTGGACCTTTTTAGTTTTTACAATATAGTTATACATTTGTAACATATTTCTATTGGTTTTGTGAATTTTCAACATCTTGTTAATGAACTTAGAAATAGCAAATGCTCTGTGTACTACTTATTAAACCAATTGTAGATATCAAGTTACTTCCAATTTGAACAGCTAATTCCTTGAGAGAGTTGAGGTTTATTGAAATGTAGTGTAATGTAAAATGTTAACATGTCAATCAAAAATTTCTTAATACTTGCGGTCGTTGACGCAACAACTATCGCAGCAAGAAGAAACTATCTGTGGGTCACACAAATAGTTGTCCCGTGTGGGAATCGAACCCACGACCGCCGACGCCGAAGGCGATACCTTGGCAACTGCGCCACGGAGTCATCAAACTTTCTTTGGGACTGGAAAACGTTGTGTAGGAATGTGTTGCGAAACGTTTATTTAATTTATTGTCACGAGCAGGAGGAAGATGCAGGCGTCGTCGCGGGCGGAGGGCGCGCCGCCGGCGGCGGCCGAGAAGCGGCTGCCGAAGCGGCGCTTCCCGTGGTGCGCGCGCAGCCGGGCGCTGCTGGTGCGGCTGGCGCGGCTCGGCGGCGGCGGCGCGCCCGCGCTGCTCGCCGCGCGCGCGCTGCCGCTCTTCCCCAAGGGCTTCGTGCGCATGCCCACGCTGCTGCGCCAGGCCGAGTGAGTTCTCTCTCCTTCTCCCTCTTTCTTTCTCTGTCTCTCTCTGTATATACCGAAACACATAATACTAATAAAGATGGATATATTGGCTTCCATCATCATCAATAACATTTGTACCATGTTGTTTCTTTTTATTTACATCTTCTCTATTTTAAACAATGATAGTAACCGAGATACGTTACTAAATGAAACGTTATTTACAGAGTACAATGAATTGCATCAGATGTTGCCTTAGCCAAGAATCTTGGTTTTAGCATGAACAAACTTAATTTTAATGTAATAATTATTATAATAGATAATAAACAGTTACATAACTTATTTCAGCGTCGGCAAAGAGATGAAGGCGGCGGAGGCGAAACGGCAAAGGGTCAACCCGGCGCCTCAAACGCAGCAGTACACCGACCAGATCCAGTTCCCGAGCTCGCTCACCGTCACCACCAGCGTTAAGGCCGCCGAGAAACACGAATCTGAGGAAAAGGACTCCAAATACAAGATCAACCCGGCAGTTTTCGGCGGCATCATAAACAGCTTCGCCCTCAGCGACGACCTGGTGGTTGAGAAGGCGGTCGAGAAGAGAGAGAGTGCGGACAAGAGCAAAGAGGAGCTCTACGTCCCGCCGAACAACATTGGCAGTATAACGATAACGCCAGTGCCCCACCAGCCGAAGGCCGATAAGAGAGCGACAGAGAAGCAGAAGGAGCCGCTGCTCAGGGTGAAATCGCCAGCGGCCCTGAACGAGATGGTCAACAAGAAGGAGAAGGAGAAACACAAGAAGCCGGAGAAGCAGAAAGAGCAGAAGGAGAGGCGGGTAGCGTCCCCCCTGCAGATCGACACCGGTCACCAGCCGGGCAAGAAGGAGCCCGCTCCCAGTCCAAAGTCGAAGGCCGAGGAGGTCACCCAGAGACAGATCGAGACCATGCGGACGGCGGAGAACAACCTCCCCCGTCCCACGTTAGTGCCGGTCCACCACTCGCCGACCTTCGCGAAACCCGACAAGAGACCGCCGGAGGTGAAGAAGAAGAAGGACGTGGTGATAGTCTCCGATCTGGACCCCCTGGGCGACATCCAGCCCGAGGAGCCGCTCGCGGTGGACGACAGCAGCAGCGACGTGGAGCTGGTGGAGGAGAGGAACGGCGTCCCTCCCCCAGCCAAGGAGAGAGTGGGTGCGAGGGAGTCGCAGAAGAAGGGGAGCGGCGTGAGGCTAAAAGACTCTGGCGTTAAAGAGGGTAGGGATACTGCGAAGAGGAACGACCCCCTCGACGAGACGACTAAGGAGGACATCGATACCCTGATGAGGAACATCATGGCGATGGAGGTCAGTCGTTGCAGCTTACACTTGCTCAATTTGCATTTTTTTTTTGTGTGAGAAGGTGGCAAACGTTAAGCGATAACCGCTGCCCGTGGACTGTGGTGCATGTGGCAGATGCGTTGCCACCTTGTAATAAAGTGGGCCCCGGGCTACCTCACTCAACAGACGAAACGCAGATGTGTAACACTTCCACTTAACGGTCCACGGTCTTCTGTGAGGTTGTGGTACTTTCTTGGACAGACTTGCCCATTCGGGCAACAGGTAAGGCTGTTTGAGTGGCCCTACCACAGTTAGCGAAGACTGTTGCATTGCCATTCCATTGTTGGTGTAACAATATTTGCCTATTCTCAATGCTGCAAGCTTATAAAAATGCAGTTACCCGTTTAATCTTACTCCTAATAACTTCACGTTATTCGCTAGATGGGGATTTTTTGCATATTTGTTTATAAAGAAAGTATACATGTTCTTTCAAATACTGAATACTAATTCATACTAAATCAAACTGATTGATGATTTTGAAATTTCAGCATTCTCAAGAGCCTCCGAAGCTTAACTGCAATTCCTATGGAGGCGTTATCACCAGTGGTAAGTTATCTAAACTTTCATTTACGTATTCAACGAAACGAATCAATATTTAAAATGAAGGAAGCAACGTTTCTTATGTCAACAACTAGAAAAAACATTTGTTTCCTTTAATATCATCGTTAAAATCGCGTAAGTTGGGTAAAATTGGCGACTTTTTAATTCTTTGGGTGTTGTTTACACATAACATTTGTTATGTTTTAATAATAACAACAAATGTTTTTTAATTTAAATTCAAATTAAAGTCCATAGATTGGCTGTTTTCTTTTTCGTAGTGTCTGATTTCGTTATTCCTAATCATTTCGTTAATTGTGTTATCAAAAACGTTATAATTATTAATAGGCACAGCTTTTTAAAAAAGAAATCTTTCGTAAATATCTCTTTTCGCAAATCGCGCTCTGGATTTGTATGTCGATACAGTTTGTTTTTCTTTTTCTATGATTCTTATAATAATGCATCACTTGCGAATTTCGGGAGTTAAAGAATTTATTCTCTTCATTAATTGGTAGTGATCCGGTTTTAAAACTGATAAAATCAATATTTCGATGATATTAAATCCTTTCTCGATAGAAAAACGCCCCAAATAATACTTTTATAAAACTGGGAAAAATATGGACGAGAATTAAAAAGAAAGTACAATTATCTTTTCCGCGTAATTAATGTCGCAAAGAGATTAGACTTACATACAAAAACGTGCAACTTTGTACGCGACTGTACATACACGCAGTTGGAGCGAGACGGAAAGCGATTTAGGCTGGCGAGAGCGGGACGGGCGACACTTTCCGCACCCATCCCCTCCGATAGCGAAGAACCGCGTAATGTGTAATGTTCCGCTAATTGCTCACAAAAACGTGCAACAATTTTGTCCGCGACTGTACTAAAGCGTAGTGGGAGCGAGACGGATATTGATTTTGACTGGCGAGAGCGGGACGGCGGCACTTTACCGTACGCCGTACGTGTCACCTCCAAAAGCGATGCGAACCGCCTAGTACTTATTAGTCTCAAGCCTAAACCGCGTAGTGTGTATTGATCCCAGGCGGCTAACCATTTGATCCGCGATGTACATAGACGTAGTGGGAGAGAGACGGAAAGCGATTTAGACCGGCGAGAGCGGGACAATGATACTCTCTATCCACATGCCGCACGCGTCCCCTCCGATAGCGATAAACCGCGTAGTGCGTATTGGTGCCAGACCCTAACCCCGGTCTTTCCCACCCAGCGAAACACCAGCGCCCCGCAGACCACAGCTACGGCCCGAGGGGCGCTTTATTCGCGGAGCCGCGTAGCGATAAGGACAAATTGTAAGTGAGGTGATGGTCACCGTCCGACGGTGCTCTCGCTTTGCTTGTCGACCTTCAATACTAAGGCGGCTTTTTGGTGGATGTTGCCTCCGAGCTCTTATCTCTTCCATATTTAATCCTTTCGCCTAATTAGCGCCTGGAGCCGCTAGTGTCCGACCGAAACTGGTTTTCAACATCGAAACTAGTTTCTAACATCGAAACTAGTTTTTATCATCGAAACTAGTTTCTAACATCGAAACTAGTTTCAAACATCGAAACTAGTTTTTAACATCGAAACTAGTTTTTAACATTAAAGTTTTTGACTGTAGCTAATTTTTTTTCAGTCTCCTTTTAACCAAAACCGTTTACGTAACAAATCTCCACAACAACATCGATTTCTAGAGGATTCTCCATTCAATAATTTCTCAAAATCGAAACAAGCTTTTTTAACTAATCGAAACTAGTTTTTTGAATCGCACCCAAAACCTATATATTTTATACAAGTTATTGTTGATGAATGTCACTAAAAATACGCGCATCAGTTGTCAGGGACGCGGTGGGAGTGAAGAAACGAATTACTTAAAAGCAGTTTTGGTTATGACCGTTGTTACGACGGGTGTTCCGCTAAAGCGAAATCAAACCGAAACTCGTTTTGTCGAAAACGGTGCCGAAATTTCGGTCGGACCCTACCCAATAAACCTGCTGGATAAAGGGATTGCCAATTTTCCCATAATTTTAACATCCCACCCGCTTGAGCTTTGTAAGTATGGCCACATCGGGTTGACACATCGACACTGTTCTTGAGCCGTCACTTTCCAAACGCTAAACAACCTATCACTCAACGATAATAATACGACTGAAAGAGATTTCATTCTTGGGTTTGTTCTCGAGGTTTTGAGCATTTTCTGGATTAGCACCCCTTTAACAATAAACGAATTCCACGTTTCGCTGTTTAAAATAGTTTTGTATAAATTTCTAGCGACAAAAATTTTAGATTGCCTGGATTAATCTGAAAATTGCCTGAGAATTTTATTAAAATGTCAAAGTCAATAAAAAATGCACGAATTTGTCATCTATCGCTTAATATCTCTAGTATGAAAAAACAGGCTAAAGTTAAACAATTTTTTGACAAATAATTAAGGTTTCTTTAAAAGTGGTAAGACTTGAAGTTTTTGTAAAAAGGTCTCTCTGAAACTTATTAAAAAATAGCATTTCAACAATAGAACTATAAATAAATCTATGAAACTTGTTATGTAATAACGCAACGTGACATTTATTTCCATTAAAACTACTCAGAAATTTATTACCCACTCTGCTTTATATTGGATTATATTTATACTTGTCGCCTCCTTGTTTTTTCCTTTATTCATACAATATGAATAGTTCCTTATATAATTCATAATGTGCAATATATGCGATCTTGTGACTTAGAATTCGAAGGAGGTTGAATGTGTTCTTCGTAAAAAAATGGTGGGTAGTATTGGGCGTGAATTGGAAAGGGCAAATGTGTGTGAGGGTTCGAGAATCTGAAAAATATTTCTTATAATAATTTTATTATCGATAATATGATTAACAATATATAAATATATGTTGTTAATTACATTATCGATACCTCGAATATCGATAATATAATTAACAATATATATTTATATATTGTTAATCATATTATCGATACATATTATGCGTGCTTAGTAAAGCGTCTGCCTAAAAGTATCAAAAGCTTTTAAATCTACCACAATCTCTGCCAAGCTTGGTTGCGGCTCCCTCACTGTTCCTTTACCCCGTCTCTTACTTTACTCTCTTACGCGTTCCGTTTTCTCTACCTCTATTTCGTTAACCTCTATTGGTCTGTGTTTACTTTGCTTCTTTATCCCTTACTCTCCCTCTCTTCTTTTACTTTCCATCCCTCTCCCTTCCCCCATTTTCACCCCCTTCGCTTCATCTTCCTTTTTGTCTCCATCTTTCTGCATTTGATCTTCCCCTCTTCCGCTATTCTCTATCTCTCTCCCATTACCCTTTCTCCATTCCTCTTTACTTTCGTTTTGCTTTCCTTCCACCTTCCCTCCCTTTTACCGTATTATTCCCCCGCACCCCCTCGGATAGAAACATGTGAAATGGCGCCAGCGATAGTATTGCACAGGTTCATATACATTCTCATTCAGAATTTCTCGAACACACAAAAAATCACACGTGTACGCACGCTCGCTTGAATTGCCACCCTTTGCCATGTCACGCAGCACTTGCATATAAGAAACTTCGATCAATGATGGCTTAAAACGATATACGGAATCGTACTCGCGTCTTAACTATAAACGCGCCAGTTACAAAACATATCTATTATAATATTATGACACTAATATTATATTTCGGGCCGACTGTTTACTTATGCCCGGTTCCTATTTTCAACGAACGGCCGTTACTTACATAGCTTCATAACTTTCATAACCACTGATTGAAGGAACGCTAGTAACTCACTTTCCGTAGGTAATGCAACGGCCCGTAAGGAAAACGCCTCGTTTTGTTAATATAGGAACCGGGCATTAGTCATTTCGCGATGGTCGGAATTGACATTAGATCGCGTTGCTTTTCATTACTAAAACGTTAGTCAACATTGTTGATCGAAGATCAGCGCGTGTGTAAAACCGTTGTCGTATTTACTACTGGTACGCTTGCGTGCTCCCTACCCCATAACAAAGTCCGGTGTTGGTTTACTTAGTTCGTAATTGCACTGACCGGTAAACACATCGAGAATGAATTCGACCGCGCATTAGACGATTTTTAGGCCTCTGACGGCGGGTTTCCGAAACACTGATCATCGTAGATGTCAACTAATCAGCTGTCAAATGTCTTTTCAAATGTTAGTTAAGTTGCCAAAGGAATGCTTAAACTCTACGATGATCAGTGTTTCGGAAACTGGGCGTGAGATTTGTCGGAACCCAACAGCCATCTCGTCATTGTTGGCTCAAGACCACCGCTAGGTCGATTTGACTCTACGATAGCTTTAATTATATGCTTGTCAGTGAATATCAGTCGGGGTCATTTTCTATTTTAGGGATCAGTCGTCAAATTCAAGATTAAAGCAGTAGTGCACATGCCTCTTGCGCCAGAGGGTGTGGGTTCGATTCTCACTACTGGAAAAATATTGTGTGATGAACATGGCCTTTTCCTATGTCTGGGTGTTTATATATATATATATATATGTGTGTGTGTGTATGTGTTCATTTACAGAAAAAAGTATGTTTACCAGTTATCTAGTACAAGCGTTGCTTAGTTTGGGAATATGGGAAATTTGGGACCTATTTATTGGAAAACCAGATACTTGAAGCTATCATAGAGCCAAACCGACCCTTGTAATCGTGACGAATATTGATGACCCGTATTAAATCGGACAAACTGCCCGAAGTAGTTCTAAATATTTCCCCCACTACTATACTTTTTACTCGAGTTGTTTGCCGGTCCCTATATGTTTGATTTTCTGTCTGTATCCCATCACTCGGCTCGTACAAAACTCGTACAGTCACCGGCGTTAACGGATAAAAATGTCTTAAAATGCATCAGTCGCTAATGAAATGTTTACACGCCGTAATGTAATATATTTCTGAATGTGTCTCCACATAAAACTGTATGCGATTCTATTTTTGCCTCTTACATGTCGGTACTCCTAAAACCCAATTCCGAATGTATCGGTCCAGATCTATACAGATGAATAAAATTGGAGTGTTTGTTTGTAATATTAAATAAAAGAACTTTTTTTTTTAATTTTTGTCTATCCGTCTGTCTGTTTGTTCAGGCAAATCTCAGAAATGGCTGGACCGATTTTGACGGGACCTCTACTGGCAGATAGCTTTTTATGTGAAATGTTGTCAAACGAGCAGGCGGTTCACCTGATGTTAAGTGAATACCGCCGCCGAAAGAAATCTGCTACACCCGAGGGTTGCAGATGCGTTGACAACCTTTTAAAAATTGGGCTCCGGCCACCTCACTCACCAGACGAAACGCGAAAGGATTAAACTTTCACTTTACGCCGGTTTTCTGTGAGGTCGTGGTACTTACCCGGACGAGCCTGCCCATTCGTGCAACAGCAGAGGCTGCTGCGTGGCCCTACCACCGTTATTGTTTTTTATTGTAGACATTTTTTATATTTTAAATTCAACGCGGCCGGCACAGCCAGTCTAGAATATTTGTTCTGGTGACTGTAGAGTTATAAGTTTCATATACTGTATTAGACTAGACCTTTATCCATCTTGGTAGGAAACGGCAGAATGCTCTCGACCATCCTTTGCGGTGTCCTACAGATGTTTAATTTGTTTCAGTGCAGAACGAACTTCTTTGAACAAAATGGATGGATGTAGCGTCATCACAGGTAATAAACCAAACGATTAGCAAAAGCGAAATGTTAGAAAAATGGGGTAGGCAGAAAGTGCGGTGCAAACGATCCTTCCTCCATTCTTACCATTTGTTGGTTTATAAACGATAGAAGAATCAAAACCGCTTCCATTCTAAACTTAACTATTTTCACTAACTTCATGCTTTCTAAGTATCTTCTACTTTCTTAATCTTCTCATATCACAGTTTTGAACGGAACTTAATCATCGGGATTGTAATTAACGTAAAATTTATGCTGTTTGTATATTCCTGCATGCTTTTATCGGGTTTGATGCAAAATTATTTTGGAAAAATAAATGCGATTCGATCATATTTATTTAATTATAGGCCATTTAGTAATATAGCTTTTGAGCTGATGGCATTTTTATTTACAAAATCTTTCCGAAATACAGTTTCAAAAATCATATTGATGGATATTTACTTCTTTTTCGGGTCATTGTGAAAAAATTTACTAGTCGATGAAAGAGAATAGTTTTATTTCAGAGCTTCACTCACACTTTTAATTAAAATCATAGATTTTTTCAATCATCAACTATTCAGTTCATTAATAAAAGTTTTTTTTTTAAATAAGAAAATACAGCATATTGATATATAAAATTATTTCATTTCTAAAGAGAGTCACCCGATTTGCATCAA